CTTGGGAGATTCTGAAGAGAAGTTGCAGAGATTGGTGGATGAATTTGGTAGGGTGTGCAAAAGAAGAAAATTAAAATTGAATACAGGAAAGAGTAAGGTTATGATAATAACAAAAAGATTAGGTGATGAAAGATTGGATATCAGATTGGAAGGAGAGAGTATGGAGGAGGTGAATGTATTCAGATATTTGGGAGTGGACATATCAGCGGATGGGTCTATGAAAGATGAGGTGAATCATAGAATTGATGAGGGGAAAAGGGTGAGTGGTGCACTTAGGAGTATGTGGAGACAAAGAACTTTGTCCTTGGAGGCAAAGAGGGGGATGTATGAGAGTATAGTTTTACCAACGCTCTTATATGGGTGTGAAGCATGGGTGATGAATGTTGCAGCGAGGAGAAGGCTGGAGGCAGTGGAGATGTCATGTCTGAGGGCAATGTGTGGTGTGAATATAATGCAGAGAATTCGTAGTTTGGAAGTTAGGAGGAGGTGCGGGATTACCAAAACTGTTGTCAAGAGGGCTGAGGAAGGGTTGTTGAGGTGGTTCGGACATGTAGAGAGAATGGAGCGATACAGAGTGACTTCAAGAGTGTATCAGTCTGTAGTGGAAGGAAGGCGGGGTAGGGGTCGGCCTAGGAAAGGTTGGAAGGAGGGGGTAAAGGAGGTTTTGTGTGCGAGGGGCTTGAACTTCCAGCAGGCATGCGTGAGCGTGTTTGATAGGAGTGAATGGAGATAAATGGTTTTTAATACTTGACCTGCTATTGGAGTGTGAGCAACGTAACATTTATGAAGGGGTTCAGGGAAACCGGCAGGCCGGATTTGAGTCCTGGAGATGGGAAGTACAGTGCCTGCACTCTGAAGGAGGGGTGTTAATGTTGCAGTTTAAAAACTGTAGTGTAAAGCACCCTTCTGGCAAGACAGTGATGGAGTGAATGATGGTGAAAGTTTTTCTTTTTCGGGCCACCTTACCTTGGTGGGAATCAGCCAGTGTGTTAATAATAATAATATGTTTATACCTTGTTGTACTTTAGCTCATTCTAGCTCAATACATAGACAACACTATATTCATTATATTAGACCTTAGCGCAATTACAAGAGTGAGTCTGGTGCCACTTGTAATTTGTTTCTTTTTATAGTATTAGTTTATACCTAGTTGTACTTTAGCTTATTCTAGCACAACACATAGACTATCAATTTCATTATGTTTATTAGTGACTATACTCTATATGACTAAAGTGCTTTAGCGATATACTTATCCAAACCTCCCACCACTACAGAAATCAGTATTAGAACTCACCACATAATACAGGATATAAACAACTACTATTTAAACCTAAAAGATGAATGATCACGTTGACCCTGATCTAAACCTCCATAATCTAACACACAATCAAAACTTATTGGAAAGTAACTGCCTTTATTATGCAGCATCACAAGCCAGCACTGTCCTGAACACTGCTCAAAGTCTATCAGTTCTTAACTACAACATCAGGTCCTTACGCAAACACTATGATGACCTCCTGCACTTCCTTGAGTCACTAAACGGCACCTTCTCCGCATTAAATTCTACTGAGACCTGGCTTAAGCAGGACACAATAGATATCTACCCTCTACCAGGATACACAGCAATCCACAACTGCAGACCATACCAAGTTGGGGGTGGTACTATTACACTAACCAACTATCTTGTATTAGCGCCAATTGCTTTAGTGACGAATATGGGGAATACATTTTGCTAGTAATTTTAACTGTTAAAAACCTCAAGACCCTATAACAATCGGTGCCATATACCGGATACCTCACACAAACATCCCAAATTTCAGTGAGAATCTAAAGTCACTAATAACAAATCAGACAAATAATATGCACCACCTTCTCCTTAGGCTGGAGACTTCATATCAACCTTGGCCTATCCCAAGATCAGACTGGAACTATTTCATCAAGATATATGAACAACACTCATCTCATACCAACAATACTAAAACCAACCAGGCTGACTGAGAACAAGTGCAACTATAATAGACCACATATTGACCAATATACTAGCCCCCTCCTTAAATAAGGATAATCACGAGACATACACTCTGACCACTACCCAACCTTCCTCTTAACAAACATTAGTAAGCCACCATCGAAATACACAAAAGTTTCCATTAAGACTCCATGACAGGCCTCATTAAGTAATTTCAACAGCAGATCTATAGACTGTTGACTGACCTACAGAATTCTCCAATGCCAATGGTATTGATGATTGGACAGACAATTTTCTAAACAAAATACTTAGACTATACACAAACTTGGTCCTATAAAAGAAACGAAACAGATCACGAATATATGCTCGGGTGCCCATGGCTAACCAGCAGGCATTTGAATTCCATTGATAAGAAACAACAATAGAATAGCAATGTAGACAGGGTAATACACAAAGAGATTCTTAAACAATATTCAACATTTTCTCACCAAAGAATAAAGAAAGCCAAACAACTGTACTTTCCAGCAGATTCACTGACACGAGAGGATATAAAAAAAGACCTGGAAAACACTTTCCCAATTCTGGGACCCACAAACTGAAAAAAACCAGAATATTGGTCCTATCAAAACCTCATGAAACAACACTGCATCCCCACTGATACTAGCCTATCAAATAAACGAACTTCTCTTCTTACACATTGGTTCTAATCTCGCCAGTTAAATCCTACGTACCAATGCCCCGTGCGGGGGACTACCTAGATGTGAATTTCCCAATTCCCTTCGATCTTGTACCAACTCATGCCCACGGAAGTCACCGTACATTCATAAAAGTCACTTAAAAATAACACTTAACTCGGGAATTTGTCTGTCTCACGTCCCACTTATTGTACAAGCGAGCGGCCCCTGTCCTTTGCATGCTATTACATTACTTTTTTAACAAGTCAGCTAGAAACTAGCACTTGTCCCGAAACACTACTCAAGACAGCAAGGGTTACAAACCAATACATAAAGGCGGTGACCTACAAGATGTTCAAACAACTATAGGCCAATATCAAAACTTACCATTGCTATCCAAAATCGTTCGAGAAACTCCGTGCACAGGAGACTATATTAATTTTAATGTCACAAAACATACTCAACCCCGCAAAGTTGGATTCAGGAAAAATAAAAAAAACTCTAATGTGCAATTATAAAAAATGCTAGACCTGCTTTACAACAGCATTGGAAAATAAGGAATATCCCGATGGAATTTTTATTGACCTAAGAAAAGCGTTTTTGACACAGTAGATCACGGCATTCTACACCACAAACTGACGACTATGGTATAAGAGGGCCATGTGCTTTGCATATTCAAATCCTATCTTTCTATTATGGTATCAGTATGTCACCATTAAAGACAAATCCTCATCAATACCTCCACTTGATACTGAGTTCCACAGGGAAGTGTCCTTGACCCTGCTTCTTCCTCATTTACATCAATGATCTCAAACATATCCAACAACCCTAAACCATTCTCTTGCTGACGACACACTTATTCATCTCCCACCCAATCTTGCTACTCTCAACACCATTGTTTATCGAGGAGCTGCTGAAAATATCGACTTGGATGACAGCCAATAAACTTCTACTTAACACGACAAACTTACTATATTATGTTTTGTAGCAGAGCAAGTGTTGCCGCAACTTAAGCATTAAAGATCGACAACACTCTATTGCCAACAAAATGAGGCAAATTCCTTGACCTATACCTCGACAACAAACCGAATTCTGCGCCCATATCCACATCATAACTAAAAAAAGTATCCAAAACGTTGGGGATCCTCTCCAAGATACTATACTACGTTCCGCCAAACTGCCCTTCTTAACTATACAATTCACTTATATATCCATACCTCAACCGAAGCTGTCTGGCTTGGGGTTCAACGGCAGCAACACTCCTAAAGCCAGTATTAACCCAACTAAAAGCCACAGTAAGAATAATCACTAAATCCCATCCCTGGCAACACCCCCCCCCCACTCTTCATAGATCTAAACTTTACTCCCTGTTCAGAACATCCACACATTCTACTCTGCAATCTATATCTACAGGACCTTAAATTCCAATATTAACCTTGACCTAAAACGCTTTCTTGATAGTTGTGACAGGATCCACAGGCATAACACGAGACACAAACATCTCTATGACATTCCCCGTGTCCGACTAAACTTTTACAAAAATTCAATGTATTTCAAAGGACCTAAAATCTGGAACACCCTACCTGAAAACTCTAGAACTGCAGACACATTCATCACTTTCAAAACTATAGTTAGAAAACATCTTATCTCCTTGATATACCCCGACAACTAACTAAATGATAACCACCTGGTGGTTCACAATTACACTCACTCACCCACTGACTATAAACACAGAAATACTAATCTTAATCTTAAAATAATGAATCCTAACTAGTCATAAGTTTGCCTATGATACTCCAATACAGATACTTTGTATTGAGCCAAAACAAAAGCATTCAAATTTGCTAAACTCACAAATTATAATGTAGTCACTTAGCCTTAATACCATAATCTGTAAGGATTTAATATTAAGAATTAATGTAAGTCTGCCCGAAATGCCTAGCCTTGCTAGGTGTCCTAGTGGCCCCCTCTGTAATTAGTATTTTATAACATGTAAACCACACAATACCCGAAACCTGTAAACCCCACACTGTAACCCTTATAGAGAATAAACCTGATTTGATTTTATTTGATTTGACCCCCGAAACCCTTTTTGATGTGGTGTTGGAGTGTGAGTAAGGTAACATTTATGAAGGGATTTAGGAAACCCAGCAGGCCGGACTCTGAATGAGGGGCGTTAATGTTGCAGTTTTATAACTGTAGTGTAAGCACGCCTCTGGCAAGACAATGATGGAGTGAATGCTGATTATAGTTTTTCTTTATCGGTCCACCCTGCCTTGGTGGGAGACGGCTGTTGTGTTATTAAAAAAACATATAATGCTAATTCACATAATATTATGCCTTTTACAGTGATTTACCTTATCATAATTTGAGCAGATCTCGTCGTAGATGCCAATGAGTTTGGTTGGGCTTATACCTGGGTTGATTTGATCTGTAAGCCACGTAGCAGAGACTTCGTCTTTCTCGCTTCTTTTGTCCATCTGCGTCAGAAAAGGAAATTCACATGATATGAACATTTTCTTGGAGAAATGTTCATTTACATATTGCTACTATGATAATCACTAAATAGTATATTGATCTGCATAACCTTCTACAATATCCTTTTTTAACCTATCCTACATATTTTATGTAATAATCAGTAAAGATTTATTAACTTCATCTACCTTGCTTATGAAACTCCTCTTACATTCATCTGTAATATGAAACACGGTTAAGAGTTATTTAATTGATAAATATAGACTATTGCTCATCCTTCATTAAGTAGCCATTTAAGTAATAATATAAATCTTTGTATTTTTTGGTGTGCATACAACACTTGCTCAATAATGAACCAAGTTGGAAGTTTTCTAAGCAAGGTTTCCAAGAGAAGTTTCAATTAGAGGTTGAAAAGAAAGGTTTCTAACATAGGTTTCTAAGATACGTTTCTAAGATAGGTTTCAAAGCAAGATTTCTAAAAAATATTTCTAAGTTATGTTTCTAAGATAGGATTCTATGATAGGTTTCTAAGATAGGCTTCTAAGTTAGTTTTCTAAGAGAGGGTTCTAAGAGAAGCTTATAAGAATGGTTTCTAAGACAGGTTTCTAAGACACGCTTCTAAAATTGGTTCCTAAGAAAGAATTCTAAGATAGGTTTCTAACAGAGGTTTCTAAGACAGGTTTCCAAGGTAGGTTTCTAGGATAGGTTCCTAAGATAGGTTTCAAAGAGAGGTTTCTAAGATAGGTTTCTGAGGTTTCTAAGAGAGAATTCTATGATAGGTTTCTAATATAGGTTTTTAAGAGACGGTTCTCGGATAGGTTCCTAAGTTAGGTTTCTAAGTTAGGTTTCTTAGATAGGATTCTAAGATAGGTTTCTAAGACAAGTTTGTAACAGAGGTTTCTAAGAGTGGTTTCTAAGAAAAGTTTCGAAAAGAAGGTTCTAAAAGACGTTTCCAAGATAGGTTTCTAAAACAGGTTTCTAAGCTAAGTTTCTAAGTTAGGTTTCTAAGAGAAGCTTCTAAGGCAGGTTTCTAAGATAGGTTTCTGATATAGGTTTCTAAGACAGGTTTCCAGGATAGGTTTCTAAGATATACTTCAAAGATAGGGTTCAAAGAGAGGTTTCTAAGATAGATTTTTAAGATAGGTTTCTAAGAGATTTTTAGGATAGGTTTGTAAGTTAGGTTTGTATGAGGGGATTCTCAGATAGGTTTCTAAGATAGATATGTAAGAGAAGTTTCTACGATAGGTTTCTAAGAGTGGTTTCCAAGAGATGTTTCTATTACAGGTTTCTAAGAAAGGTTTCTCAGTAAGGTTTCCAAGAGAGGTTTGTAAGACAGGTTTTCAAAAGAGGTTTCAAAGTGGTTTGGAAGAGAGCTTTTTGTGGGAGGTTTCTAAAAAACGTTTCTAGGAGAGGTTTCTTAGAAAAGTTTCTAAGATAAGTTCCTAAGGGAGGTTTCTAACAGAGGTTTCTAAGATAGGATTTAAAGAGAGATTTCTAAGATAACTTTCTAAGAAACGTTTCTTATATAGGTTTCTAAGATACTTTCTAATGTAGGTTTCTTAGCGAGGTTTCTAAGGGATTTCAAAGACAGGCTTCTAAGATTGGTTTCTAAGATAGGTTTCAAAGACAGGTTTCAAAGAGGATTCTAGGAAAGGTTTCTAAGACAGGTTTCTAAGATAGATTTCTAAGATATATCTCTAAGATAGGTTTCTAAGCTTTGTTTCTAAGATAGGCTTCTAAGAGAGGATTCTAAGAGAGGATTCTAAGAGAGGTTTGTAAGAGAGGTTTCTAGGATAAGTTTCTAAAAGAGGTTTCTAAGACAGGGTTCTAAGATAGGTTTCTAAGAGAGGTTTTAAGAGAGGTTTCTAAGAGAGGTTTCTAAGAGAGGTTTCTAAGAGAGGTTTCAAAGAAAGGTTTCAAAGATAGGTTTCTAAGAGAGGCTTCTAAGCTAGGTTTCTAAGTTAGGTTTCTAAGATAGGACTCTAAGATGGGTTTCTAAGAGAGGTTCCTAATAGAAGTTTGTAAGAGAGGATTGTAAGAGATGTTTTTAAGAGAGGTTTCTTAGATAGAATTCTAAGATAGGTTTCAAAGATAGGTTTCTAAGATGGGTTTCTAAGATAGGTTTCTAAGATAGTTTTCTAAGAGAGGGTTCTAAGAAAAGCTTCTAAGAGAGGTTTTTAAGATAGGTTTCTAAGAAATGCTTCTAAGATAGGTTCCTATGACAGGATTCTAAGATAGGTTTCTAGGATAGGTTACTAAGATAGGTTTCTTAGAAAGGTTTCTAAGACAAATTTCTGAGTTTTCTAAGAGAGATTTCTATGACAGGTTTCTAAAATAGGTTTTTAAGAGACGTTTCTAGGAGAGGGTTTTAAGTTAGGTTTCTAAGTTAGGTTTCTAAGATAGGATTCTAAGATAGGTTTCTAAAAGTGGTTTCAAAGAAAGGTTTCAAAGAGAGATTTTAAGACAGGTTTCTAAGACAGGTTTCTAAGAGAGGCTTCTAAGAGTGGTTTCTAAGTTAGGTTTCGAAGAGAATGTTCTAAGAGAGGTTTCTAAGATAGGTTTCTAAGACAAGTTTCTAAGATATGTTTCTAAGAGAGGTTTCTAAGAGAGGCTTCTAAGAGAGGTTTCTAAGAAAGATTTCTACAATATGTTTCTAAGAGAGTTTTCTAAGATAGGTTTCTAAGTTAGGTATCTAAGATAGGGTTCAAAGAGAGGATTCTAAGATAGATTTCTAAGATAGGTTTCTTAGAGATTTCTAAGATAGGTTTGTTAGTTTGGTTTCTATGAGAGGATTCTAAGATAGGTTTCTAATACAGGTATGTAAGAGAGTTTTCTAAGGTGGGTTTCAAAGAGAGGTTTCCAAGAGAGGTTTGTATTAGAGGTTTCTAAGAAAGGTTTCCCAATATAGGTTTTTTAAGATTTGTTTTTTTAAGATAGGTTTCCCAAGCAAATTTTCAAGAAAAATTTTTAAAACAATTTTTTTTTAAAACAGGTTTTAAGTTTGGTTTTAGTTAGGTTTCGGAGAGATGTTTTTTGAGAGGTTTTTTTTAAAGAGGATTCAAGAGAGGGGTTTTTAAGATGGGCTTTAGGAGAGGCTTTAAGTTAGGTTTCTAAAATAGGGGTATCTGGGTAGGTTTTGAGGGTAAGTTTCTAAAAAGAGGTTTGTAAGAGAGGATTGTAAAGATGGGTTTGAATAAAAGGGGGTTTCTAAAAATTGGTTTCTAAAATAGCCTTCTTAAAATGGTTTTCTGAAGAGGTTTCTAAAATTTGGGTTTTTTACATAGATTTAAGATAGGTTTCTAAGTTGTTTTCTAAGAGAGGGTTCTAAAGAGAAGCTTATAAGAGAGGGGTTTTCCCGATTGGTTTCCCAAAAAACGTTTCTAAAATGTTCCCCAAGACAGGGTTCTAAAAATTGGGTTTTTAAAAAGAGGGTTTTTAAAACAGGTTTCTAAAGTAAGGGTTTTTAGGAAAAGGTTCCTAAAAATAAAGGGTTTTTAAGGGAGGGGTTTCAAAGATAGGGTTTTAAAAAATAGGGATTGAGAGAGATTTTTTGAGAGGTTTCCCAAGATAGGTTTTTTAAGAGAGGTTTTTTAAGAGAGGTTCTCAATAGGTTTTAAAAATAATTTTAAAAAGAGGTTTTTCTAAGTTTAATTTTTTTAATTTTAGGTTTCTAAGAAAAGACACCCCAAGAGAGGTTTCTAAGGAAAAAGGGTTTTTAAGAAAAGGTTTTAAAAAAGAGGTTTTCCCTGAGAGTTTTCTAAGAGATTTTTCTAAGAAAGATTTCTATGATAGGTTTCCAATACCATGACGATCAGACTAGGAAAACTCAAATACCTTGAGCAACAGACCAGGACTTCTCAACTACCATGAGCAACAGACCATTACTACTCAACTACCATGAGCAACAGTCCAGGATCACTCAACTACAATGAGTAACAGAAAAGGACTACTCAACTATCATGAGCAGCAGACCAGGCCTACTCAACAACAATGAGCAACAAATCAGGACTACTCAACTACCATGAGTAGCAGACCAGGGCTACTCAACTACCATAAGCAACTGACAAGAACTTCTCAACTAACTTGAGCAACAGACCAGGACTACTCAATTCCCATGAGCAACAGACCAGGACAACTTAACTACCATGAGGAACAATAGAGGACTACTTAACTAAAATGAGCAACAGACCAGGACTACTCAACTACCATGAGCAACAGACCAGCATTGCTCAAGTACCATGAAAAAGAAACCAGGACTACTCAAATACCATGAGCAACAAAGCAGGGACTACTCAACTACTATGAGCAGCAGGTCAGAGCTACTCAACTATCATGAACAACAGACCAGGACTACTCAACTACCAAGAGCAACAGACGAGGAAAACTCAACTACGATGAGGAACAGATCAGGAATAAGAACATAAGAACGTAAGAAAGGAGGAACACTGCAGGAGGCCTGTTGGCCCATACTAGGCAGGTCCTTTACAATTCATCCAACTAACAAAACATTTGCCCAACCCAATTTTCAATGCCACCCAAGAAATAAGCTCTGATGTGAAAGTCCCACTCAAATCCAACCCCTCCCACTCATGTACTTATCCAACCTATATTTGAAACTACCCAAAGTCCCAGCCTCAATAACCCAACTAGGTAGACTGTTCCACTCATCAACTACCCTATTTCCAAACCAATACTTTCCTATGTCCTTTCTAAATCTAAACTTATCTAATTTAAATCCATTACCGCGGGTTCTCTCTTGGAGAGACATCCTCAATACCTTATTAATATCCCCTTTATTAATACCTATCTTCCACTTATACACTTCGATCAGGTCTCCCCTCATTCTTCGTCTAGCAAGTGAATGTAACTTAAGAGTCTTCAATCTTTCTTCATAAGGAAGATTTCTAATGCTATGTATTAATTTAGTCATCCTACGCTGAATGTTTTCTAACGAATTTATGTCCATTCTGTAATATGGAGACCAGAACTGAGCTGCATAATCTAGGTGAGGCCTTACTAATGATGTATAAAGC